TTGAAGAAATCAACGAAAGAAGGCCTTTTCCAACGGTGAGTCTTAAGAAGCATCGTTGGAAATTTCCGTTAGTAGTTCATTTTTTGTATTCGCAAGCGTTGACATGACGCACACGCGCGCGCAGTTGCTATAATTCGTCGGATCGGTGCGCGACATCGCGTACCGGTAGCTGCAATCGGCTCACTGAGAACGTGTCTCAGACGCTAAATTCAGGCCCAATTCAAAACATGATTCAGCAACTTTTGATTTGAAATCGAAATCCTAGAATGTTGTTTTTCTCGAAATATTCAGCTGAAGCTGAGCTGAAACTTCATCAGGTTAGTTGTTCAGCACCCTTCTTTAGAGATTTTGAGCACTTTTGTTGCTTCAAACGAACAAAATGCACAAATTACAAATGATGGACTATAGTGATTCATGTAATAATGCAAGTGATTCATGTAATAACTATCAGAAAGGTGAAAATTTCATGGGCTTTTCGCACCAATGGCAGCCACATTACTCTGCATGAGCATGTATTGTTGTTAATTATGTAGCCATGTCGATACACTTTATGATGTTCTTGACCTTGTACTTTAGTAAGTTTCCACAGGGAGAAATGGCTTTAAGGGAAATAACTATGTTATCAGGAGAATCCCTGTAGAAGGTCAAGAACATGTACTTAAGTAAGTTTCCACACGGAGAAATGGCTTTAAGGGATATAACTAAGTTATGTAGCCATGAATTTCAGTCTAAAGATAATACTTGATAGGTTTTGAAAATGGAAGTATTTTTGACTAAAGTTTATGAGCACCGATGTTTTTGGTAATAATGAACACACTACAGAAGTGCGTTTGGTGCCATAATGACCACTGTTAAAAAGTTGGGAAAAGTCACAAAATTTCATGTTGATCAGGCAAAATTTGGAGGACGCTTCAACTTAAAAAGTACTCCAGACCCTCACTACATGTACATAGGTCCAAGTCAAGTCAGAGTGAAATTCATTCAATCAATTGACGCTGTTTTCTCTCAGAATTTTTACTGGAGTGATCGATCCTTGTTTTAAAGTACATGTATTTCAATATAAACAAATAAGAGTTATTTGCTCTCTTAATCGCCTGATCTTTTCAGGTTTGAGAATAAAAATAAACATTTTGTTCATCACACATTCAGTGTTATTCCAAAATTCTGTAGGTTGCTTCAAATAAATGCATGAAAAAAAATGTTTCCTGTAATCTATCATAGCTCATTCTCTCTATTAAACAATGCCCTTTCAATTATTTGTTTATTTTGTGCTTTATATATCATTAATAAATACCTTGGAGAGTTGATGGTTTCTGATTGGTCCAGACTCGATCACGTGGCCGGGCATTAACGGTGATAATGGACCGGCTTCAAAGATATAAGCGAATAAATGGCCCCTGAACCAGCATTGATCAAGCCCCGTTCAGCCCCATGCAAGCCAATGATTGGTCAAAATACAGTAACAGTCCTGCGGTAGCTTGTAGCAATAGAGCACTGCACATGCGCTCAACCCCCATCGCGTGAGACTGACGCGCGCGTACGCAACACAGTTGCCAGGGATGCGTGCGTGCACGTGCGTAAGGAAGTTTTGAAACGACATCGTACAGCAGTGCAGTATATACTGAGGATGTTTACGACGAAAGCGTAGATCTATCATTTATTTTCTTTGAAACACTTCACCCACCGACATATTTACCTTTCCTAAACCAAGCATCTTTGTAATTCCGGACACAAGGAAAACGAGATTTCAGCTTCCTCCATCAGGTAAAGATATGAAAACATTGTTGTAATTTGTTTCGCTACGGCTGCAGTTTCTGTTGAGTTTACGTCGTTATAGCTGTTAAGCTAAAATATGGCCCATGAACATGAACACAAAAAAGTCTGGAAATATCGCCGGAAAAAAGTCACAAAATTGGAGCATTTTAACTGTTTATTTCGTTCAAAAGGTATTTATTAATGGGAATAACAGTGTGAGGATCCGGTCTTCACTGCGTGATAATGACCGGGTGTGGGGGTGACCGCTGTTAATGGGCCTCGACTTCGTCTCGATCCATTAACAGCGGTCACCCCCACACCGGCTCCTCACACTGTTATTCCCTTATTATACTATACTTACAATCTGTTCTCGTGATTTTGTAATGTATTGTTAGTTTGTTTATCTTTGTCTTGTGTTGTTTGTCTGTAAAGGTATTCTACATAAGAAAAGAACATTTTCATGCAGATTAAAACATTGAACCCACTCGTACTATGCGCTTTGTCCCTATAAGAGGATTGGAAAAACAATTCAAAACTTCCTGGCCGTAACAATAAATCTTACATTGATTTCAGCTTTATCTGTGGTAGATGAAGTACATATGTAATCGATTATGCAAACTTGGAGGCTAAGAACCTTTCCATTAACCGACCCGACAATTTGTTACAGAAACTGGCAAAAGCAAATATTTATCTTTTATATTTGTTCGGACTCCTTTTGTGTATTCATTACTCTTTTCGTATCACATTGTAACCAACTGCTGTGTTGACTGCTAGATACAGGTATTAAATGTTCAGAATTAAAAATTGTAAGCACATCATCACCAGAAAACAAAATACAAAATGGCATCTGGTATATTGACATTAAGCACAATTTGAAAACAATCTGAATTGGACAAGCATCCACTGCGTGCCCTATGACGTCATGTCTGCAGGAAATCGCTTGCCATCCAAACATAAAAATCAAGCATACTTTGCATGCTGTTTTGCCCACTTCCATTGAACATTTTTGCCAATACTTTGAAAATATTAACAAGAAATATACATACATGAACAGTGCGGCCAACAACTATTTGCTAATAATTGGATTCACATGACCAAACATCAAATTTCTGTTAAACCCATGGATGAATTTACCCTTGCTGCATTGGTAGCTCTTAGTGGTAGCTCTTAGACTCGGGTCCTTCAATCGGGGAGTGCCTGGTGTTTGTGCTTCAGGTTGAACCCGGTGTGACTAGATTCCGGGAGCAGTGGCAAAAAAGGCAATCGCGGCACCACTGTCCGTGTATGTCACAGTTGAAAACATATCACACAACAAGTCTGCAAATAAAAGAATTAAAGAAAACCAGCAAAACAGGAACTTCACGTGTAGATAGGTTAGAAATGGTACGATACTCAGCGGTGAATACATAGACCTGAAATGAATGCAATGGCTTGGCATTCGTTATCCTTTTTTATAGCAGTACACGCATCAGTACACAAGACCTCAATAGTCAGATTAAGAAAGAAATGGAATGCAACTAACGCCCAAACATGCCAGACATTGAGGGCTATTTATTTCTGCCCTCCAAACGAACAAAACTAAATTTTGGCAAAGGACTACATGTACTTTAATGGCACTAACCGCTGTTTGACCTCTCTCTCCCTCCCTTTGGGATAAATTGAACTCCAGCAAATGGCGGCGGAGGATTGTCATAAAGTATTTCATGTATTAAGTTGTAACCAAGTCATTTTTTTCCCAAGTCAAATCAATTCCCTAGTCAAATTTTAGCTAGTCACGTCAAGTCTCAAGTCAGTTTTTTTCCAAGTCAAGTCAAGTCTCAAGTAATTTGTTTTTTAAATATTAGATGCACATACTATATGTACAGGAACCAGTTTATGTGTTTGATGACGGAGTCATAGTAGAGATGGGAACGGGGTTTATCAAAGCATGCATCATGTAAGGAGATTAATAAAAATATAATACTTTTTCAAACATCTTTTCTCAAACACCTTATTTGTATTTAAAGAGTCTAAAAAATGCATTTTGATATAATATTTTCAAATTTGTTCCATCATGTTGAATGTTTGAAGGACGTCTGACAAAATGTCCTTCCGAACGTTTTCATTTTATGCATGATGTATATTCTTTTTGTTTTATGATGGATTGGGGGTAGCAACCGTTTTCCAGTTGTTTAAACCCAAGTTGCATTTAGCACGCTAAAGGTAAACCACTCGATGTGTACCTGTAGCCTATGGTCTCTGTGGAATGACCGCTCAGACTACACATGGCACAAACTGCACCATAACACACGCATGGTGCTAGTCACGTACATGACATGTGGCAGGCTCAGGATTCCCAGCTATCCCATGCTGGTTGCTAATTCGCTATGTATATCAATGATTCTTTTCAACCAATTATGCTATTGCGCACAAACGCCCAGAGGTTTGTGTTTTTTTATTGTTTGGGTAACTTTAAGAACATGTTAATGTCAGCAAGTCAAATTTATTCGAGTCAAGTCAAGTCCCAAGTCATATTTTTTTCAAGTCAAGTCAAGTCTCAAGTAATTTTTCCCAAAGTCAACTCAAGTCTCAAGTCCAAAAAAAAAAAGACTTAAGTCCAACTCTACTCCGAGTCAGCGACTCAAGTCAACAACACTGTGTATTGGACACTTCGGAGCTATTTGTATGTTTTCAATTGTTTTCCCGAAAAGAAATGTGTTCTTTTGAAGCCTGTGCATGAAATTACTGTATGCAAAATATTAAGATTAAGCCATTTATAATAATCATGATAAAGAAAATAACAGACACAGTTCGCCACCTTGATTGCTGAAGGAATTCCAGTTCTTGTTATGGACAAGAATTTAACAGCACTTGTCTTAATGCACTTGTCTGTTTCATAGTGCAGTACTTCTTCTATGCGGTATACTGTAAAGGGAGCTAGCCATTTACCCGTAAAGATCTATTTCCAACAGCACCATGGAGCTTGCTTGACTTGATAATGGAACAGTGAAGAGTGTCTCACGACATGAAAACCGCCAAAATATTTTCCAGCCATGAGGTGAACTAGAAATCCTGTAATTTACAAGTGGCAATCTGTGTCTGGTGAGAATGGAATTGATAAAAGACCAACGTAACTCATGTTGTTCCCATGTTTTTCTGTAAGTAGAAATTGCCAAGCATGTAATAGGCCTATTAATTTTTAAGAACCACATCAGGAATCCACCTTTAATCTGTACACATATTATGTACTGTATAATATTTGCATTTTGTCATAATCGACTTGACCATAATAGTGACAACCAAAAATGTATTCTTCTTTTGTCACCTTTTATGCAGGTGGGGATGTCATATCTTCTATATTTGATGATGATGACCCAAGTAAAGAACGAGAAGCTGAGATGCTGCTTGAATATATTGAACACTTTAATGAATTATTTGAAGAAGGAAAATACAAAGATGCTGCGATGCATGCAGCAAGCAGTCCAAAAGGAATACTGAGGAACTGTGAGACTCTTTCTCGTTTCAGAGGTAGGACAAAGTGTTTACAATAGACATTTTGGTTTACAAATGTAAGCTACACACTGAACAATGGTCATTCCTTTTTACCAGAGACTGAATTTCACAATGCCCATGCTGCAGATCGGCATACTGATTTAAATTGCCATACCAGTGTTCTACCACCTAAGGGGGGGGGGGGGGGGCACAGTCTGTCGATGTCCTTTTTCAAGGGTTGCTAGTCAGAAGCCATAATACTCCAGTGGATATGTGACAAAATTGTGCACTTTTTCATAAAAGCGTGAAACTTGGCACATGTGTTTATATTAATGATAATGTTTTAGATGTGGAGCTATTGCAAATTCACCCTTTTAGGGGCTCGGCAGCCATTTAAAAAAAGGGGGAGGGGACACTTATCGTGCCGCAGTGAAAACATTGTTCACACTTGTCACAAAACTTCACAAAGACATAACTATATAGATTATAAGTGTTTTCCAGATGTGGAGCCCCACAAAAGCACCTTTTTGGGGGCGTGGCAGCCATTTAAGAAAGGGGGTAATTATTATGCTTACCTTGGAAAAAATTGTGCCCACATTTCATAAACGAATGACACTTCCCACAGAGGTTTATATCAAGGAGAAAAAAATCCATATGTTCCATTTAGCCAGGGATAACACCAAAGTCATTATGCTAGCAACATAAGCAATGCTGCAAAACCGAGAAATAGCAAACAGGGATCACTCAAAGAGGATAGGCCTACAGCTTTTATTACAGGGTTTTCAAATGAGCCACAAAGGAAGGTCGCAGGTTCAAACCCCACTCCAGTCAATTTCCGTGTTCACAGACAATATTTGCGCTATTTGCAGTTAAAAAAAGTATATTTCTCATTAAAAATTTGATTCAAACAAATAGACTGATCAGGTCCATCAAGACATCACTTTGAGTGTTGTAATGTCTTTCCAAAGTTTCATGGCGATGGGCCTTGTCTTTTTTGCAGTGTTGGAGGTCTCGAGCTCGGCCTCGAGGCCGGCCTCGAGGCCGATTTTCATGGCCTCGGCCTCGGCCTTGGCCTCGGCCTTGGCCTCGGCCTTGGCCTCGGAGGTGCAAGGCCTCGGCCTTGGCCTCGGCCTCGGAGCCTTCCGGCCTCGGCGAATCGGTCGAGGCTGGCTCGAGGCCGCCCATTTTGATGTGTTTTCTATTCTAATTAATTTTAATTTTTTACCGAATCAAACCCTCGAGATTCTGCCGCAGTGGGTTCCGTGAAACGAACGCATATACAATGTACGCACAAATGAACTGGAAATGGTTGCATTGAACGTACCCACGTACGTAGCATCTTCGCCTAGCCTGCGCTTCAGCTTTCCACGTGCTTGCAAGCGTTATAACTGTTACCGCGTGCCAGACTACATAAGCCTGGCACCAATCCCATTTGCGTACAATAACATTTGGTAGTAGACTAGTCTGGTTGCAGTGTTGTACAAAATTTTCTCGTTTCGCCTCTGTACCCCGACCTTTAAAAATGAATTGCGGCAAGGTGCGGCAAGCTTGATCATTTCTTTTTATAGGCCACTGTTTCAGTAAAAGTCTGAACTTTCTGGGTACGATCGAGTGTACTAGTCCGTAGCATTTGTTTTCATAAAGATATGATAAAAACAATTACGATTTATCAAGTGGATTTTATTTTTACACGGTGATTTAAATGAAAGTTCCAGCTCGCACGGTAATGTTTGGCGCAAATGGTCGATATGGAAAGGTCGATATGGAAAGCGCGATTTCAGAATTCGTTTTTCCATCCAAATGAATGCAAAGTTCTGAATGAATGTTTTAATAATACGAGTCAGTATTCCTCGTGGTACCAGGATACTTTTTGTATTTTAGAGCCATGTTGATACTTATTACATGTATAAGCACGGTTTGATATTGACTAATTTTGCGTGGTTACAGATATACGGCCAAAACCTGTGGACTCCCTACCTCTTGCCATGATCTTAACATTCTTCGAAGCCATTGGATTCAAATCGGATGATCCGAGAATTCATGGTCATTTTGATGAACTGAGTGATATCATGCACGCATGGTCCGTGTTGCCGTGTTGTTTGGAGCAGGATTGGCCATTGCCAGACTTTGTCTGGTACCGCGGTATTAACAGTGATAATGCGTGGACACTTATCCCGTTGTGTGGAGCGGGATTGGAACTATGCTTTGCCCGTGCGTAACGGCGGGCCGTCTGGCATTGTCTGGTCGCATCGCGGTGTTTGCTCGGCGCGCGCCAGGACAGTGCGAAGGTCGGGGGTCATGGTCGTAACTTTTTGGTTATGAGTGGTAAAAACCTGATTCAAAAATCAAGTTGTTGTTTATTTAATGGGGATTCCTATGATATTAAGCATTTTGATAGGTTTTGAAAATAAGATTTATAAAACATGCTAAAAGTAAATGATGTAAATCTTACAGAATAGAAACTCAAAATTTGGCCATTTAAATTGTTGTATCTCCAAAGGGCAAACACCTATGAGCCTGATTCAAACGCCATTGATTTTGTTGTGTAATTTGCTTTCAGTGATACAAAACTTGAGATTTCTTTCTTTAAAAAATAAAATTCGCCGGACTCTCTACAAGAGGAAACCCATTGCAAACTGTAAATTTGTAAGCCAGGCACTCCAAAACTCAGTGAATTCAACTAAAAGATGTTAAAACTCCAACATAATCTTAGCCTTGTTTTAGTGATTTATATTTTATTACGTGTTTTGATAGCTGGCCTCGGCCTTGGCCTTGGCCTCGGAGGTGGTGGCCTCGGCCTTGGCCTTGGCCTCGCGGTTGTGGCCTCGGCCTCGGCCTTGGCCTCGGAGGTTGTGGCCTCGGCCTTGGCCTCGGCCTCGGAGGTTGTGGCCTCGACTACAACACTGCTTTTTTGCATGATCCATAACACTTATGACATCATCATTACGTCACTTGTTCATGCCCACTTTTCTATGTAAAATAACTTTGTGCCAAGTTGTGTGTTGGAGATAAAGCTGCAACCAAATTTCTTCTCAGTTCAGTAATGGGCATTTCCACACTAATGGGCCAATTAGATAAGTTTATGGGTGTTGCGTATAAAGGGTAAAAGATGAGCTAGTATTTTCTTCAGGTTTTTTTCCTATACCTTGTTAAGTTGAAAGTGACTAGGAAAAGACAAGACAATAGATGATACCTTGTTTTGTTTGAAAATAACAGGCATCTTTTCTGTGTGATACGTATGTAATGTGGACAGACACACTGCTAGGAAAAAGGTGCTTAGGACAAATTCAGTTTCTAATAGGCACTTCCAGTGACATTATTAAGCCATTTTACATTGTTATCAAGCAACAATATAACAGTTTTCACTCTAGCTTCAAATTTATGATGTGATTAGGGTTACGTACGAACAGGGACAGACATTTTGTGACAAATGTCCTGTCTGTTCGTATGTATAAATCCTGATTATAAAATATCAAATAATTCTTCACACTGACTCTGAGTTTTCTAGGTTTTGACTGATAAGCATACCTCCAGGGTACATCTCCTTAAAAATAAGTCAACATTAGGGGATCATTAAACTTATGCTTACTTTGTGACTTTATCTAAAATGTCTGTCCTTCGTTACATACGTAACACTTTTAAAAACAATATCCACTATATTTTCTAAAATACAAAACCAGTTAAACCATTTGCAGGTGAGGACATTTGTTCGAAGCTTGCAATATTTACAGCAAAAATTGAGAGACCATGATCGTAGTTTTATCATGAAAACTTAAAGGTCTTCTCAAATGTCACCTTTTGGGCCCATTAGTGTGGAATATCCTTAGCCTTCTTTTCTGTTTCTGCCCGGGTGAGTTTCATCTTCTGAAGTTCCGCTTGCACTGTTCTTCTAAAAATAGTCTTTTGTCTGCGCCTTAAGTTGTAATGAAGTGCTGTTTTTTTTTAAGTACTATTTTAGATCATCATGAAGACTTTACTAAGCCACCTTAATCTTTTTCCAGCTATCTCTGCTATTGTGCGTTTTGAATTTCTGTTCCTGTACAGTTGGTAATTTGATATAGTGATGGGCCAGAAGTGTCTACAAATTTTCCATTGTCACGTGGCCGGTCTTAAATGGATGATAAAGAGATGGCTGGCTGGTCCTATACACTCACCCAGTGTCACATGAGATTTGGAATCCCATGAAATTGGGTGCCTTTTAATGTTTCATTGGTTGAACATTCCTCACGTAGGCATGCGCAATACTACCAGTAAAATAGTATTTCATATAGTCCAAAATTCACACTACATCAGCCCAGCTGCGTTTTGCGCGACATCGCACAGTAGGTGCGACGTGCACGCCAGTCTTCTAAGGTGAGGAGTTGTAGAGGGACATTCTATATTAAAGTCTGAGGGGTATTTCATAAAACTTGAAGTCAAATTGTTGAACAACAAATTGTTGAACAAAATAGTTGGCAACGTCTATTTTTTAAACACTGTGTGTTACAGAAATTTTATTTTTCCAACTTTCACTCGGGAGGTAACACACTGAGTATACAGTGTTTATACATCAGTGTGAGGCAAAGCCTAATTTGATTTATATCACCCCGATGCAAGAATTCCATCTTATGAATAGTGAATGCAGTACTCACTGCTATGTACATTAGATTCAAACCAGCCAACCGATCCCGTTAGCTCGGTGGCCGAGTGGTAAGACATCTGCGCTAAAAAGCAGGAGGTCATGGGTTCGAGTCCAACCCGAGTGATTTTTTCCAACTTTCACTCGGGAGGTAATACACTGAGTATACAGTGTTGATACGTTGGTGTAAGGGCAATACCTAATTTGATTTATATCACCTTGACGTAAAAAAATCCCATCTTATGAATAGTGAATGCGGTACCCGTTGCTTTGTACATCAGATTTGAACCAGCCAACCGATCCCGTTAGCTCGGTGGTTGAGTGGTAAGATGTCTACACTAGAAAGCAGGAGGTCGTGGGTTCGAGTCCCACCCGAGTGATTTTTTTTCCAATTTTTACTCGGGAGGTAACACAATGAGTATATAGTGTTTATACGTCGGTGTAAGGGCAAAACCTAATTTGATTTATATCAACCAGACACGAAAATTCCATCTTATGAATAGGGAAAGGAATAATCATACATTGCATGCTCGATGCTGTGCTGTGCAGTGTCCACTTGTATAATTTAGTATGGAAGACAACTTTTAAAATACTACATGTTATTGGCTGTTTCAGAAACTTGCTGAAACAGTTTTTGTTTTCTTTTCAGTGCTTATTTTTGGGGGTTTTTGCAAATTTTCGAAAAAGCTTTTGTTTTTGTTCTGATATTGTTGCTTTTTTGCAAATTTGCAAAAAAGCCTAAAGTTGTTTTTGTTCTGATTTTTAGGTGTTGGGCCTTGAGCCCAATACCTATTGTTTTTGTAAGATTTTACTATTTGTATTCTTCTTAGCATATTCTCAGGAATTCGTTTCCGGTACTGTTTGGAGAAATGGAAACATATATGAACTTCATTTGTCAATACATGAAATGCCCGATCCACCGCAGATGGTCTTTTTTGTAATTACATCATCTTGACGTCATCATGGGTCACGTGACGTCATTCGAAAGTTTAATAAATTTAATCTTTGCAATTCCATATAAAATCAACCGTGAGAGACCGGAACCTGAAATTTGCAGGAATCGACATGGTAATACATGATCTTCATTTTATCCTGTGCGCGTAAAATCACGTGACCCTTCCTTCCGGTCGAAACCGGAAGTGCCTTATTATTTGAAATTGGTAGAAGATGCGAACTTGCTTTCAACGATGTGAGTGTCTGCCTAGGCAGTACTGTACAAACATATTACAGGTGATGTCATCAAATGTTAGAGCGCCCTCTAGCGGCAGTTAAAAAAATGTCGAAAACGCATTATCACTTGATGTATGTGACGAAATTTGATGGATGACGTCATCAGACCGGAAGTTATAAAGAAAAGACCTTTAAACCTTAAACAATTGCTAAAAAAATCAACCGTGAGAGATATAATCAAGATGTGGCTATATATAGCAGAGTAAATATAGCTCTGGAGGTTTCTGGCGATGATGTCACAATGACGTCATCAAGTGTCATATTACAAGCAAATAAATATTTCCATATTTAATCTTTGAAAATCAATATGAAATCAACTGCTACAGATTTGATTTTGTTTTATATGGCAATCGATAAAATATTGCAGGGTCTTCATTTTTGGTTTTAAGTGCAAAATCACGTGACCCTTCCTTCCGGTCAAAACCGGAAGTGCCTTATTAATTTAAATTGGCAGAAGATGCGAACTTGCTTTCAACGATTCGAGTGTCTGCCTAGGCAGTACTGTAAAACAATTTTACAGGTGACGTCATCAAATGTTAGAGTGCCCTCTGGCGGCATGTTGAAAAGTCAAACATGGATTTAAACATGTATATTTTGAGTTGATGTGTGTGGCAAAGTTTGCGGTAATCCATGGCCCAACACCGTGTGGTTGTTCCTACAACCTCTAGTTTTTTTTTTATAGTTTTTTTCTTTAGTCCATGCAAAATCCCATAGACTTTGTACACAGTTTTTGTACCCACAACTTTTGGCATTCAAATTTGTCATATATCATTCAAATTAAGCATATGCATTGTCCTCACTGCAAAGTTGTGTTCCGAAGAGTGATGTCATGGCTACATCATCATTGGTCATATGACATCATCACAAATGTCAGTAATTACAATGGAACAGGCTTGGATTTCATGACCTATGCTCTGTTAATTATTCAGGTCAGATGATCCGGCTTTCAACGCCGTAAAGAAAAATGACAAATTGTCACAAAATGTCTGTTGCAGAACATGATTCTTGTGAAAATACATAACTTTTGACTGTGTTCAATGATATTCAGAAGAGATTATCGGCACTAGAAACAAGTGAGATGCAGGCAGTGAGATGTCATCACATGACATGTGACATCATATCAAAAAGTGCATATTTGAATGCCTATATCTACAGAACGTCAGGTCCGATTGGGTTGAAAGTTGGTTATGTATCTAAACCGTAAAGTGTTATAGATGAAAATTGAAGTGACGTCATGTAGACGTCATGGACGTCATATTAGAGGTTAATTTTTCTAAGGAAGGCCTACGTCAGTTTATAACTTGACTTGAACATACATTAACAAAATGCCAAAACAGCCATGTGTTTGTTTACAAACATAAGTCTAGTTTAGTTGTTGCAATTTTATTTCAGAAATCAGATTTTGGCATGTTCTGTTTTTTGGCATGTCCATTTTGTGTTACGCGAGTAACTGTACTTTCAAAAAGTGCCATGCTTAAATGATGGAACATTCAACTTTTGAATGTCATCAGGGAAAAGCCTTGAATATTGGCATGTTTTAAAAAAATTAAAAGAAAATTGACAGTCCAGCAACTATGAAGATTACAGCACTCACAGAATGTAATGCACGTAACTGGAATTGTCCCAAAATGTTTCTTTACCCTTAAATTGGGGTACATGAGTGATACGTTATTTATTATTATGTTTGCCTTTCTTTTATTTGAAGCAATTCATGCTAGGACTGGCAAATTACCACCTCTTCTGGTATATTGTGAGGCTTTGATTTCATCAGTACCGGCTGTTGGTTCACCGCCTGATGCAGAAACATCACTGGAGTGTGTTAAGAGTGCCCTTTCCGAAGATAGGCTTGATCTTGTGATGCATTGGCTCTTGCAAGAAAGGTTTGATTATTTGTTTTATTATACCAAGAATTGTGTGAACAAAATTTACTTGGTTTCCTACTTACTTAAACCCATGGTATCATGAAGCTATTATCTGTGGCCTTTCAGCAAGGGGAAATTGGACCCTCTTGTGGTCATGTATGGGCTCCATCATGGAGCCCATACATGACCACAAGAGGGAGCCTCCATGCACGATCAAGAGAGGGTCTATTAACCACCCTATAGCGCGAGGCACGTACGACTAGTTTTCGGCCCGCCTGGACTTTGTTCAGGAAAGAGACTATGCAATCACTATGTCTGTACATATGTAGTAAATACGTATGTGGTATTTTGTTACAGTTTTGGGGAATCGTATCATTTCAAAAGTTTAAGTTCAATTATAACAAAACTTGAATCATACATGTAGATGCAACAGTTTTCACATTGTAGATGTCAAAGGTCACATACCATGATCAAAGGTCATCCGAGGTCAAGATGTAAAGTAGGCGAGATGTGTGTTTTTTAGAACTGAGTTGTTTTGTGAATGTGCACAATGCAATAGCATATTTGCTTGAGCATCAGGCTTTATCGGAATGCATTTGAATGTAATTCAAAGTGGTCTCCCCTAACTCTCCCTTCTTTACCGTTGAGGGGGTTCTTGTGCACAGAGCACATAGGCACGATACCATTAGCGATTAATGCCACTTAGTATGGGTTTTAAAGGGGCACTAGGTCCTCAAATCTCCGAAAATTTTATGTTTTGGATTGTTTACTTAGACTATTTCAAACATCTGGTTGAAAGGAAACCAACCTAATGTCTTACCGTTCCCGAGAAAAGACCCAAAAAACCCGCTTGTTTACATTGGACATGATGGAGTACGAATACGTTTTTCGTGTCGTTCTCAGTGTACGCTATAACATGTTGTGTGTCTCGGGAACAGCGCGCGGTGACCAATCACCAATGCAAACAATTGTGGTTTCTTCAACGTCTGCAAAGGCGAACACTTAACGCGTACGAATGAAATAACAACTAGCATCCAAACAGCTCGAATTTATGGGGTCGCAAAAGTGGACCCGAAATTCGTTCTCGCACGCATAATACAGGAATAACACAAAAACGCCCAGTTTTGAAAGGATAGTTGTGTGGATGTTTATATCCTACTTTTAAATGTTATTTCCGATCATCATCATCTCGTTCAAAGCGCGTTTTGTAGCCCAACTGGGCTATTCCAGGACCTAGTGTCCCTTTAACACACCACAGTCAAGAGAAAAAAAATGTGTTCAGCTTTAACTCAACAAGTACCTGCTAGTGGAACAGCCAAAGTGGAGTATTACACTTTGGACAGCATTTTGTGGAAAAAGCGGGCAACCATGTCAGATCAATCAGTCAAAGGATGGAGAAGAAAACGTTGGTGGATGCCACCCTTAAGTTTTACCCTAAATATACCTAATTTGCATAAATTGTTAATCCCTGCAGTGTACTGTATTTATTCCCATATTTGGGCATATTCTTTCTTTTATATTTTTTTGAAAAGTTTATTTTGGTGATTCTAATTACACACCCTTACTTAAATGACATTTTCTTAAGCATATAAGTCATTGAATAATCATGAAGACATAGTAACGATCCAAAATGGCTACTATTTTACCCACAATTGCGTGCATTTACCTTGTCTCCAAACCTCAGTATTGATGAGCTTCAAATTCAGCAAGTTGCTAACTGGCACAAATTTTTCTTATTAGAATGGAATATGGAAAATCATGTGAACAATGATAACATTGTGATATGTAGTTCAGCAAACAAAAGCGGGGAAAAACGAGCTGGCTGTCTGTAAACTTGACTTAAATAAGTTCAAAAAATAAAAGTATACCCAAATAAGGGCAAAAATATATTACACGGCAGGTATTAAAGATTCATGCAAATGAAGTATATTTAGGGTAAAAATTAACGGTGGCATCCACCCACATCTTGTTTATTATGGTTCAAAGAATTGATTTAGCATGGATGCCAGCTATTTCCAAAAAATGCTGTGAAATTATTATCTAGAACACTTTTCCACATTTGGCCGCTTTACTATGCTGATCAAGTAAGTGTATTTACTTGTCAAACATTCATATACAATTTTGAACTTTTTAAGATTCTGTTAACGACAGGAAATGCAACTTTCTTTTTTGGAATGAGCCTTGACAACCCCCACAGGTTGCTGTCTCCAGTAACAAAAAATTTCAAGTAAGGATGTTGTGTAATTAACTCAGTGCATGTGTAGTTCATGTGCGATGTCATTTTCATGCATTTTAGTGAACCCCACTTGACAGTGTTTTAGCCAGTTAAGGTTAAATGATATACAGTTGAGATGATTATTACAAGCATGTTTGGGACGAGAAAACAGTTGCTATGAAAAAACATCAGCCCGGTTACATAGAAAAGCATTAATCAACATGTTTACAACTAAGACAATTTGAAAACACCTTTTACTCGATCCCAGTGAATTCAGAAGGAAGGTTGCCAACAATAATTGCACCAATGCTATTCCGTTCATTAATCCTGCGCTGCAGTTTTAAGATATGCACTTGCTGTGTGTGGCGTGCCGCCAGAGGGACTTTTATTACGGTGGGTCCAAGCTGCATGGGGTTTTTGTTACAAACAAACAATGGATAATTACACCTGGCTTTTGTTTGATTAGAAATGCTACCCAATATTTGAATGCAATTAAACAATTGAAAAAAAGAAAGATATATGATCCCGCTTCCTCTGACTTGGATTATTTTGTAAATGCAAGTCCAAGTTAGAGGAGTGCTTGTGCACCTTTTTAACCACGAATGACATCTACAAAGCAGTGAAAAACAATTGTAAAAAAAAAAAAAAAAAATTTAAACGAAGAACAAGAAGAGCGCAATAATAATGCTGGAAAAAAAAATTCTATACAAATTTCAACAATTGCTAAATTTCAACATACCGGTATGTATGCCAAAGATAGAGGGCAGGGTTTTAAATTTTCTGGGAAAGTGATGATAAAGACAACAAAATGCGAAAAAAAGATGTCGATCACAGCGACTCAAAGTGAACATGTTAGAAAATCTAATTCTGTATAAGACTTATTATTTCCAGAAGAATGGTTCCCAAATACAGTGTACTTATGTGCAGAAGCGGGTACCAGTACAATGGACGTGCAAGCATGGTTTTTTCTCGGTTGCCCTTTACGTCCAGTCGGGTGTTGTTTTGTTTGTTTCTTTATTACAAGTTTTACAACTCTACTTTCATATTTATTTCATTTATTACACATTGCAATTCATTATACATTTACAGACATTGAATAATTTGGAACATATAACTTGTACTCTGTACATGAGTGGGAAAAAAATCATTGCAATGCATTATACAAGGTATAAGATAAAATGAATTTTTTTATAGTGTACAAGAGGTCGTATTAACAGCGGTCGACTGTCGTGTCTGTGTATTGTATATCTCTTTTCCATTAGAAAATAAAAGGAATATTACTTCCGTTGTCAAGGAATGTTACTTCCGTTTTCAAACTTCTAATTCGTTCATGCATTCCATTTCTTAACTTTTGTTTCGCACAATCTATAATACAATGGAAAAAAAACATCATTTTATTTTATACAATTGTTTTGTCCTTGCATTACAAATTAATTCTAATGATTGTCATTGTTGGAACAGAAGTGAGCAATGCAATACATGTACATGATTGGTTGTTTTACTTACTTCTGTGTCACAGGTTGACATGTTCGGAGCCTCTTGGTCATCTTCTCTACAACTACACACAAGGAAAAGGTGCAGGAATTATTAGTAAAGGTCTTCCTCTGGCCGAAGCTGTATATACTTTGGTTGAAGCTCACATCCAGGCTGCTGTATGTATGTGCAAGCAGGGGAAAGTGCAAGCCATGATGGATTATGCAATCAACGCAGAATTTGAGAAAGGTGAGGTCTGTAAATTGCCAAGTTTACTAGATGTTCCACTAAGCCTAAGAGCAATAAGAATCTTGACCAACAAATCTGTTAAAGTTTATCATAATTTATTGAAATCAAAATATTTTTAGATTTTATTTTGGGTTGTATCGGGAAGGGAATCTTCCTAAATCATGAACAAATGTAAATATCGTTGGACCTACATGTGTAAGTAACCTGAAGTAGTTTTAACCCCTTAGCCAAAAGGCTGGAGAGGTATTGTCATTGCCTACGACCGTTGGTCAGGGTTTCCGGGCATCCCTCTGTCGACCGTCAGGGCGGATGTTCGTCCAGGCGTCCGCCCTTACCCTGGACCACTCGTGGGGTACTCCACAAATAAAATCTTTAGAAAAAAAGGGTACCCCACATCGAAATCTTTAGAAATAGGGACAATTGGACAACAATGGAGGTACTCCGGAATTCCATCTGGCTGGGAAGTCCGGACAGCTTAGTTTTGGATGATAATTTGAGTTAATATGTTGTTTGGGTTTGTAACTTGGGTAGGGGTTGTCCTTTGCAGTAGGCAAGTAGAGATTGGTTTAAGGTATAAAATGCAAGTTAGAAGTGAGATTTTGGTGTCTAACTTCGGTAGGGGGTTGCCCTTGGGTACAGGCAAGTTGGGATTCGTTTGGGGGTCAAAATATCAAATGTCAAGGTCACAATGGCGAGTCAAAGGTGACTGGTTTTCAGATGATAAGTTGAGTTAGCAAAGAGATTTGGATTTTTAACTTGAGCAGGATTCGTTTTTGATTCATCAGGTCAAGGTCACAGTGGTGAAGTTAGTGGTTTCTGGATGGTAACTGGACTCTGTCTGGGGGGTTGCAACAGCAACGTGGTTACTTTTAGTTCCGGAAACCTTTTTTAGGGGCTGTGGAAAAGCCTTTCTCTTTGTTCTGATTTTCTTTTCTTCTTCCTCTGCTTTTCGTACAATGCAAAATTCCTTGGACCTTTGAGCACATTTTTTCTTGAGGCAACTTTTGGCACTCATCTTTCTCATGCAGGGCGATTCCACGGTTACTTGCATTACACTTTTTTGCACCCTTTCGTGTTCCGATTGCTGTGGTTTTAGCAGGAGTCGGACTATCTATCTCTTATGCTGCATAAATATACCCTATATTCGAGGCTTCATCCTGATGGTAAAAAATCGTACCAGAAAAGAAGGGTTTTGGTTACTCGCATTACAGTTACTCGCATTACAATTTGGTTCATTTGGTTGGGAAAAAAATCAAATCTTAATCAGAGCAGGTTTAATTCAACCTAAATCATTTGATCAAACAAAACAAATGGCCAGGCTATACATTTAAATCAATTAATCATTCTTTAAGTATCAGTATAATTAAAAGATTACCACTCAATCTTAATTTGTCTTTTAGAAAAGTTTGATTGTGCTCAGCACAGGCCTATTGAACATGCTATGTACATGACACTATAGTAACTCTAAAAAATTCATTTATGTATTTTACTGATAACATTCCCTCATCAACTCTCAAAATTGCTCTGTTTGTACATCAACATTAGATTGATTGTACACAATGTGATTTTAGGCAGATTATGAACAACTTTTGATGTAGGCCCTATAAATTGTAATACTGTTCAGATATGTATACCACAGATCCTAGTCTGCATCAATTTACATTTTCAAGGGGCATCTTCTTCTTCATTTATTCATTTTCATGATGAGTTGGGCCCAACTGTCCCTGTCAAGAATAGTGTTGGAAGAGATGGGCCACTCAGACCAGTTTCCAGCTCGATGGATGTTTTTTGGGTCATGTTTGGACGACCTTTTCGTCGAGGGGCTTCGGGATTCCAGAGGAGAACTTGACTAGCTGGCTCATTATGTCGATTAACGTGACCGGCTAGCTGAAGGCGACGCTGTCTGATGGTGGTGGAGATAGGGGGAAGGGCACCATACAGAAGAGAGTTAGGGAGTTGTTGTTGTCAAGAAACGTTCTGAACAGCCCGCAACATCCGTGTATAGGTGGCATTCAATGGATGCAGAGATCTTTCTGGTCAGGTTCCAGGACTCGCAACCGTAGAGGAGGATGGATTCTACTGAGGTCTTGAAGATCTTAAGTTTGGGGATCGAGGGTCTCCATACTTTGGTCAGTGAGAACAGAGCAGACCAAGCTTGAGCTACACTCATGTAATTGAGCTGTGTTGGTGTAGGAGCCCAGATACTTGAAGTCATCAACTTTATCAAGCTTACTACCACCTAGTGCAGTGACGTCGTCAGAGGTAAATGGGTTGATGACCATGTACTTAGTCTTCTTTGCATTAAGAGAGACCAACGGACTTGCAGCAGGCTTCTACTTTATGGAGGAGAGATTCGGTATCAAGGAATTCTGAGAAATTTATCAAACTTGTTGGTGGACAATGTTCTTACTAGGACATGGGATGTAGAAAGAGGAAAAAACATGAGAGTACTTCATGTATCGACTTCTGTCTTTAGTTCCCTCAAAATGTCACATTTTGTTACCGTTTGTATGTGGAAAGACCCCTAGGTCTATATCAGTTTTATACAACATTTACATGTATATCTATGCCAAGACTGTTTGTGATATTAAGTGACATTACTGCATTAATAATGTTCTTAATACATTGAATTGTAAGTGACATTAGTGCATTAATAATGTTCTTAATACATTGAATTGTCATGTTATGTGCTCATCTTTGAAAGTCTTACTGACTTCAGTGGTGTGTTCAATGTCAAAGCAATTAAAAGGGGAAAAAGGGCATTCATTGCGCAATAATACTCACTGTCCACTGTGCGTGCAGTGCAGATTGAGTTTTTTGGGTGGGGTGGGTTTTTTTTTTCATGCTAGATACCCACTTCCTATACAAAATATCCCCCAAATGACCTAATGCATCACCTCTGAAGTGGGCGCAATCATATTCCAAAATTTTAATTTTCATCCCAATTATCAACCCCGCTATTAAAAAATAAAAATTTAATTAAACAAGTCCAAAGATTGGGCACATTTTTAAACGTAAACATTTCGTCTCTGGTGAATTAAAATTCACCAGAGACGAAATGTAACAAGAACATTAAAACGAATGACAAAAAAACGAATTTGCTTTTTCAATTCAACGCCAATTGCTTCACGAGACGAATTTCAAAGATTTTGGACGAATCAAAATGCTAACAGTTTGAATTATACTGAACCTTGAATCTAGTGGTGGAGTTTTGGAATTCAAATTGAGAATTGAGCTTGGCGGTGTTCGGGGGAATTCGTGTGATACAAGTATTAAAATAGCCGGGAAAACTTATATTACAGTGGTATTTTGTACAAAACTTCACCAAGTTATCAGACATCATATAATTGGAAGTTTTTCTTGGACATCCTTTGATGGTGATAACTCTTACGAAGCCTTTCTTAAGCTGTCTTCGATGACATATATGCACTTTTCCTTTTAATTGATGGCAATCTGAGAAAGTCTGCTTCAATCATCCTCAGTGTAACAGGAATGGTAAAAAAATAAAAATAATCAGCGACAGTGACCAATTTTGTGAAAAGGTTCTATTTGGAGAATTGCGCCACTTTCCAATTGTGGTACAAGTTGTGCCAATTGTCTCAGTGAAAAGGCTATGAAAAGGCAATCAAGGCAGGCGGGGAAAAAAAAGAGATTTCGCCAAAGATTGGGCGTATTTTTTTGTTCGTAACGTTTGAAAGTCACCAAAGGTGAAATGTAATGTCAACAACATTAAAATTAATGACAAAAAATGAATTACTTTATCAATTCATCGCCGAGTGCTACACGAGACGAATTTCACAAATTTAGGACTAATCAGTATGCTAAAAATTTGAATTATACTGAACCTAAAATGAAATCTAGTGGTGGCTTTCTGAAATTCAAATTGAGAATTGAGCTTGGCGATGTTGAAGGACGAAATTAAAGTATCGATATAAGGAATTTGTGTGGTACAAGTGTTAAAATAACCGGGAAACCTATTATAATAATAGTGAAAATTTGTAAGGTGCCGGTATCCGCCAAGCAAGACGCTCATGTATAAATGTGCATGTAACAGAGATGGAAAGCAATTAGGACAGTACATAAATGTTGAAGAGAAATTTTGAACAAACAATTTTTGCAAATCTTAAATCTGTGGACATAGTAAATTTCACCAGGACAAAGTTGCCTGTTTTGAAGAGCTCCCTCTCTTGTTTTTTTTGTTTAGATATGTATATGGGTGTTCTTGTAGCCTGCCCATCAATTGCACTCGCGGAGGTCCTCATCCAGCCAAGGGGCCCGCCAGGGAAGCCTACTCTTTCGGTTGGTACTGTAGTATTTGAACTTCTCCAAACTGAGAACTATGCAATTGGAGTGCAGCTTTTGGACAGAGTATACCGTAGCATTCAAGCAGGTAAATTAACATATTACAGACTAATCAAGGGACGTGAACGCACAAAGGTCCCTTCAATGGCCAAACATTATGCTATTGTGCAATTGTTTCTGCCCCATGAAGCATTATCTGAACAAATAGCTAGCATTGACGTCATTGTGTGTCACATGACAACACATTAAAGAGGATTTTTTTCAAATCCCTATTCACGTATGTTCATGCCAATGCAATTGTGCACCATTGATTAAGACAGTGGTTTTTATCGATGGTAATTACCATTGAACTAACCATAGATTTAATACCATTGATTTACCATTGGATACCATTAATAACCATTGCAATGGTGTTTTGGAACGCTACCATTGGAATACCATTGAGTTTACCATGTGTATTATTTATAATACCATTGGATCCACTGAATGGTATACTATTGATTAAACCATTGGTACTACTTAATGGTTTACCATTGAATGGAATTTACATTTCCAGCGTTTCGAAGTATAGCGGGAAATAATTGTCTTAGGAATTCGAGCAACGCATTGCAGGTGAATGGTTACGTAATAGAGCGTTGGAAGGTTTAAATAGAGAAGAAAAGAGTATTGAAATCAGTTCTAGCAAGCACTCCACACGAGGCATACATACGCAATCATCATTGAGCAACAACAGCTACAGGCGCACGCCAGCACTAAATTCATTGAAGACCGAGTCCGACAGGCCGTGGCCGGTTCGCAAGCTGCCCTTTTGGAAAAGCTTTGACGGCCTAATAACGTCGAAGCAAAATAAACAGTAGTCAAAAAGAAATATCTGATAGCCAGCTCACAAAGATTCAAGGCAGTATCTTGGCCAACGATGGTTACACCTTCAAACGCAAGAATTGTGAAGATCAGAGTTACATCTGGAGGGCGGGGCTAACATCCAGCAAGCATCAAAAGACATATCCGAAGGTATTTGAGCTATCACAGACAAAATCTAGTCAGAATGTCAGATGCATCAGAGCTGGATCAGATGGAGAATTGTTAAGGAGTATGAAACCAAACCACTTGCTTCGGATTCAGAAAATGAGAAGATGTACAGGACTGAAGCCAGGGCCTCTAAGAAGCTCAAGACAGAACAGGCGAAGAGCAGGAAAACCACCAGATATTCGTCATGGCCATCGGAGCAGCGTACTTCGGCGGTTTCGTCAGCGACGGTACCACAGTCGGCAAGGGCAAGGGTTGTGGTCAAGCCGGTCATTAGAAGTACGAATGTACAAGCAAGGGCGGATGCTGCCAAGGCAGTTAAGATAAGTGATCTTGTAAAGTTTTCAGATTTTGAGGTAGAAGACATAGGTAGGATAACAATATTGTACAGGATGTACATTGATGTCGGAGAGGGTAAGCGTCAACTAACTGGACCTCATCTAAGGACATTTCCTTAGATGAGGTCCAGTTAGTTGAGGGCAGTGAGGTAGTAGGGTCATGGGACAAAATACAGTCCCAGAGTAGCTCCACTTGGAGAGAGATGGAGGCAGTACACAGAGTTCTCAAAAGTAATGAGATTTTGTTAAAGAATGAGAGAGTTAGATGTTTCAACGATAACAAAAATGTTAAACAGGTGCTGAATAAGTAAGAAGTCCAGCTTACAAAACATCTCTTTGAATGTGAACAGATTTTGTGAAAAGAATTCTATAATTCTCAAACCAGAGTGGATCCAAAGAAATAACAACACCAAAGCTGATTTGTTGAGTAGAACCAGGGACAGCGATGATTGTAAAATACAATCAAAAATGGGTGTATTGATTATTTGGTAAAGAATGGGGACCACATAGCGTGGATAGATTTGCATCCAATTTGAATTAACCAGTGGAAAAGGTTCAACTCTAGATGGTGGTGTCCGGAAACGGAAGGAATAGACGCTTTTCGGTCAGATGTGGGCAAATTAAGTTAATTGGTTAGTACCCCCACCCAGGTTAATTCAGAGAGTATTGTTGAAGATGGAGGTGGAAAAAGCGAAAGGTACATTGATTGTTCAGATGTGGGTGTCGGTACCGTTTTGGCCATTTTAGGTAGCGGAAAGTAAAGATTTCAAGTCATTCATAGAGAAGAGTATGATACTGCCACAACAACAGGTGATCCTTGAAGGTCAAGGTTGTAATGGCATATTTTTAGATGAACCATAACAATTCAAGCTGATCGCTTTGAAGCTTGTTTTCTGAATTTCAAGTTTCATTGTAATTGCTGGAGGGAATGTTAATGCTGATTTTGAATTTTTCCAACAGATAGGATTGAGGTTATAACGTCTCATAGTCAGGTGGCTTAGATCTAATTTTCGTCAAGATCGTGACCGACTGGTCCAAAGCACCAAACTTGGCAGATAGATTCTTATAGACCTAGAGAAGATATTTAGAAGGGGTGACACCTGAAATTCTTTTGGGAATGGTGCCTAATTTGCATAAATCGTTAATCCCTGTCGTGTAATATATTTATTCCCATATTTGGGTATATTTTTATTTTTTTTATTTTTTGAAAAGTGTATTTTGGGGATTCTACTTACATATCTTTACTTAAATAACATTTTCCAAAGCATATAAGTGACTGAGTAATTATGAGGACATAGTAACGATCCAAAATGGTTACTATTATGCCCTAAAATTGCGCACATTTACCTTGTCTCCAGATATCATCAATTAGTCTTGCCAAACATCAGCATTGATGAACTTCAAATTCACCAAGTAGCTTACTGGTACAGTTACACTATTAAATCATGTGAACAATGATAACATTGTGATATTCAGCCCAGAAAACAAAAACTGGGAAAAAACGAGGTGTCCATAAATTAGGCTAACAAGTGGGTGAAGGTTTGCCTAACATGGAACACTGGAACAAGTTCAAGGAAAATCCCAAAATTATTGTTGAGAAAACGTTTTGGCGTGGACAAAATTATTGTAAACAACATAATCTCTTATTTAGGGGGATTTCGTTGAACTTGTTGAAGTCAACCCTTCCCGTACTAGCCCAATTTACGGACACCTTATTTTCTCCCCTTTTTTGGTCTTTTGGGCTAAACATCAAGATGTTATCAATTTTCACTTGATTTCCCACTTATTTTTGTTAGGGTAACTATGCCAGTAAGTCACTTTGTGAATTTGAAGCTCATCAGTACCCACGTTTGGCGAGACTAGTTGATGATATCTGAGGAAAAGGTAAATGCGCGTAACTTTAGGGTAAAATACTAGCAATTTTGGTTCTTTACTATGACCTCCTAATTATTCAGTCACATATGTTTTACAAAATGTTATTGAAGTAAGAATATGCAAGTAGAATCACCAAAATACACTTTTCAAAAAAATAAAAAATGAAAATATACCCAAATATGGGAATAAATATATTACACGGCAGGGATTAACGATTTATGCAAATTAGGCACCCTTCCCAAAAGAATTTCAGGTGTCACCCCTTCTAAATATCTTCTCTAGGGCTATAAGAATCTATCTGCCAAGTTTGGTGCTTTGGACCAGTCGGTCACGATTCCGACCATATGCCACCTGACTATCAGCAGCTTTGGAGACAGCGGGGGTGGTGGGTGACAAAAAAAAACGACCGGATGTGTCAACACTTGATGTCTTCCAAGAGTGACGCTACGGTCAAGAAATACATCAGGAGTTTCAAGAAATGGCAGAGTTTTTGTGCCAGGAGCAGATGCACCTAATTACCAGCCCAGCTAATTCTCATCGCAGTGTATCTAACGGAGCTCCTTGACTTGGGGGCTTCTTCATCACGTTATTGCATCAGTATTATACGGCATTAAATGGGCCCATGAGATGAATGGGCCCAACGAATAACTCATTCGTGAAAAACCTTCACGAATCGATAAACGCACAACAGGTCACAAGACACAGAAGAAAGATGTAGTTTCGTCCGATATGAAAGTAGAGCTTTGTGATAGAAATTCTGAAGAAACAGATTTGTTGGTAATTAGATATTTATGTATGATAACCTTAGCATTGCAGGTTTCTATCGGTTCAATGAATTGAGCTCATTACGTTTACTGAATAACTATGTTTGGAGATTTTTTCACTGTTGCGGTGACAAAAAGCAAGACGGATCAATATCGTTGCGGTAAAGAAGTAGTAATTTCAAAACGTTCCACTTCAGCATGCCCTTTTAAAATGTTGCTAAGATATATGTCAGCTGCAGGTATGGATAATACAACTTCAGCTTACCCGCTTTTAGATCAAAGGATGGTTGTAAACTAATTTCCAAAGATAAAAAGTCAAGTTACACAAGAGCCAAGTTACACAAGAGCCAGGGAGTGTATAATCAAGATGTTATCTTCTGTAGCTCCCAACCTAGATTTAGGTTTACATTCCCCAAGAGCGGGAGGAGTAACGGCCAGGGCCAGCAACGAGGGACAAGAGCGCTGTCTAAAGAGACATGCGCGCTGGAAACAAGATGAGAGGTAGAGATGGATATATAGAAGACTCACTTGAAAAGAGGTTAGAAGTGACCCAGAAACTGGGTCTTTAAGAACAAATTTCTGTTAGATTATATTTATTTGAGTTAACCTTTCATAATCTTTCATGTCTTAAGAATTCGAGCAACGCATTGCAGGTGAATGGTTACATAATAGAGCGTTGGAAGATTTAAATAGAGAAGAAAAGAGTTTTGAAATCAGTTCCATCAAGCACTCCACACGAGGCACACAGACTTAAATTTTTGGGAAATTTTTATTTTAATAGTTTGGAAAATTTTGAGTACTTGTATAATTATGTTAGGGTGCAGCCCAACACCCTCGCCGAGGAGAATTCTGAATGTTTTTTGGGTACAGGTTTTCCAGAGCATTTAAAAATGTTATATCTCGGGTTTTTTTTGCCTGGAAGTCAACTTCTCCGATGAAGCGTTTGAGTTCAATAGTTAAAGCTATTACAGCATGACGATTGGGATCGTTCAGTGAGAGTTTTACCAATTGTATTAATATATAAATACAGAGCATCAAGTCGTGGCCAGTCGTAGGTTGAAATCCTACGGAGGAATGTTTATAGAAAGAATTTTGGTAGTCAAATCGTACCCACTACTGTTGCACAATGTTGACGTAGCAGCTGCAATTCATACAGATTATCAAGTTGTATTAACTTTCCAAATGTACAGATGTGCAAGTCCCTAATCATTCAATAAATGGTGAACTCGTGTCTCCTGTGCTTTGCTTATCCCACTCGATGGTAAACCATGGAACATACCATTGGTTTAACTCAATTGTAAACCATTGATTAAACCAATGCGCAAAACTGAATTTGTTGTCATCTATTTTTTTTCTAGCTTTTTATGTTCCTATCTTCTTGGACTCCAGGTCGTTTGCTCTTGTTACAGTCAAATATACTCCATCACTTACTGTCTTGTCTGTGGTGTCCAGTGACTTGGATCTGTTATGGAGGACCAAAAAAAGTGGACAACCCATTTTGGGGGGCGAGGGGGGGGGAGGAAGAAATTAAGTGGTATTGCAATAAAGGTTACTACTGCGTATTGATAAAATTCATCAACGCAGAAGAGTTTTGATGTTCATCAGTGATGATGATAAGTTTAATCGTGGCACATCTCAACATTGTTTCAGTTTTGCAACATTTTCTTTTCAACAACTTGATTTTCTACTGGTAAACAAAAAGTAAATTTTGTTTAGGAAATCAATCGTTCTTTTTTTTGGTGGAGAAAATACGAAGTGGCTTCGTATTGTTGTGTAGATCCGAGACCACTGAAGTTGTTTTGTATGTTTTAGAAACTGCTGTTTACTTTTTTCCAGTTTTCAGTAGGATTTTCAGGAGTATGCTCTTGTTCTGACACCATGTAAAGATCTAAGAATTGTACGAAGTGTTGTACTAAGTGTTGCTGAATTGTTTACCTAGACCAGGAATTTTCGCAATTAAATATTATTAATTACATACTGAAGCCTTTGATCTTGGTTGCATCGATATTAAACGGAATTATCACAAATTTTGGATCATATAAAAGTTAAAAATCCAGTTAAAAAGTGCTCATTTTGTAGAAGCCATTAAGGCACATTTTGTGGGAGCCATTCGCGAACACAATTTCTCCGTTATAATATTTTCCGTTTACAAATTTTTAAAAAAGGAGAAATTCTTTTTTAAAAGAAAATTGGTAACATTTCAAAGTGACTTAATCCTGAAAGAGCCCAAGTGTCGATTATTGGTTTCCTTTTATAAATCTAAGTGAAAATATAGGGTGGTAAAAAAAAAAAGGACACCCACATTTGACAGCAATTTTCACCTATTTTTAAAATTTATTTTTTGATTAGTAGCTATTGAAGTACTGGTCTAAAGGCAAATGTGATGAAAAAATCGCGGCATTTGCACATTTTGTCGGTGAGCTATAAATTCCCTTCGCTTGACTGAGCTCAGCTGTTGGAAGCTTTATTTGAAAGGGCATGAAATTTGATTGTAATTTTATGAAATGTCATGCCAAAAATAAACTTAAGCCGACAGCTAATTGAGAGGATGATCTTTACACTGACACGAATAACTGGACAGCTTCAATTAAAGTTACCAGGGCATAATATATTTTGGTGGAAAGGTTTTCTTAATTTTTATGAACTAGGAAAACGTCCAATTTGCATCAGATAACCTGTGGACAAGACTGATTTTGGTCACTTGTATTCAAATTAGCATAATATCACTATTTTTACGACTTTTACTCAGTTTTTTTTCACCGTGCATGGTTTAAGGTCTATACTTTACTACTATGTGAAAACGTATTTAATATAAGATCATTAAGTAGGTGAAATTGCTGTAAAAAGTGGGTGTCCTTTTTTTGGAGCCACCCTGTACACTACCCAGGCGTGTATTTTTTGCACGCTCAGGTCGAGTCGAAATGACCGTGAAACAACAGCATTAACAACTTTGTTAAAAACGTAAGGTGGGAGACGCTCCTAGCTTGCCCTTCAGTGGGTGAAATAACAGCTTTTACTGATTATCAATCGCATATATTCTCAAGGTCTGAAACACGTTTGAATTTGGAAGAATTTGAAGAGTGAAAATATTAACTGGTGAAAGCCTTTGTTGTGGCCGGTTCTGATTTGAAATATATTATATTCGACCTGAAATTCAGATTTAATTTTAAAGTAAGCTAAAAAACAGTTTGTGATCCACGATTATCATTGGCGGGTCCCGGGTTAAATCGCAGAAGAATTTACAAGGTCACTAATTGAATTGTAGTCATTCAATTATTTTTTCATTAATGTACTGTTTCTAAAAAATGCCAACAAAATATAACGCAAATGCCTGACGTAGAATGTGTAACCAGAAAGATCTTAGATAGGTTTGGTTAAATTAAACGCC